GGGGGGGAGGTTCGACTAGAATTTGCGTTTCAGTCGGTAAAAAATGGTGGAATGAGTAATCGATCCAAGTAGATGGGCCTCCACTCCGCTTCACCCACTGTCTTGCGGTTAGGTTCTTGTTAGAACTAAAGGTTTTGGACCAGAACCCTGGTCGTTCTGCTCAGTGGTTGGACACCCTAACAGTGCCCGTCCATCAAACTCCAGTGCATATGCATTGAGAGTTTGTCGGCGATCAGTTCGCTTCTCTGCATTTCGCTGCACGATGATGATGATGATGATCTCACCCGTATAATCTCTTATGCGGCACAGAGTCGACGGAATCGGATCCAAGCGAGGATCTTTGAAGTGATACCGGGTAACTCCCCACCATTACGAAATAAATAGTTTTGTCCGTTCTATTGCTGAACCACGAATCTTGGAAATGTATTGACATAACCATCTAATCCAGAACGCGTTTACCTCTTGAAATGACCTCTCTGCCGTTCCAAACTAAGAGCTGGTACCTACTGTTGTGTTCCGGTTAAGCAGGCAAATAACCACATAGTGAATTAAGTATTTATTTACAGTATTTATTTACAGTGGGTACACATGAAGCCGGTCTATGGGCCGGTGAACAAGTAGAAGCGTCAACACACAAGAAGGCAGACAGGCGAATAGCAGGTGCAAGTGCTACATGAATTCAGAATGCGGTTAGGCTTGGATAGTTCAGCCATCAACGAACTAATCACAACGATCATCTGACTGACTGAGATGAATCGATATTGTAATAGGGTAAGTCTGCTTACGTAGTAGCAGCAGCATCGACCAAACGATTGATCAATCAGGCCTATGCATGCGCGGTAAACGTGTCAGTCAACAACACCTATGCGTGGTAATACACTTAGAGCGAAAGCTTCCAAACTCGCCTCGACTTAGCTCAGTTTAAGAGCACTACGGAAATGTTCCACTCACCATCCCATGTGACAAGTTTTAAGATGAATTAATGTATCTTTGATCCCTGCAGGCACTGCCCAACTTTCGTGGATTGGTACTCGTGTTGATGAGCAATATCGTAAAAGCAAATGTGCTTCGAACTCTGAAAGGCCCAGAAACTAGGATAAGCCAAACCCTCATATTTGAGCAAGCTAACTTTTTTGTTGGTTTTTTTAAAGTGGAATTTATGCGCATATGTTTGATGTGTCAAAGTAAAAAAACTACGCAGTGATGATTTTTTTCCAGTGTTGTGCCATTCATTATTGACTTTTTTTGTATATCTCATCATTTCTACCGACAGACTTGGTCCGTGCTTCGTCGGATTGCTTATACCACTTTCGCCTTGCTCCTGGTACGACAAAAGTACTATTTCGCTTGGGGATTGGCTGAGGTCGATGGAATCGGCGCGGGTCTTGGGTACACCGGTATTTGTCCCAAAACCGGTGAGCCGCTCTATCCACACGTGATCAATTTTGATCTGCGTCAAATTGAGTCCGGTCTTGGCCTTAAACACGTGATCGATGCGTGGAATATTTCAACTACTCGGTGGCTTCGTGAGGTATTCTACGATCGGTTGCCGCGATCCTTTCGAACACCTTTAGTGTTCATCATCAGTGCATTTTGGCACGGTTTCTACCCTGGTTACTATCTAATGTTTCTCACCTTTGCTTTATTCACAATTGTTTCCCGCATGTGGCATCGTACTGTTCGACCGTACTGTCGACCAAACCACGTCTGCGCTCAGGCCTATGACTTATTCACAATGGTCGTGACCAATATGGCAATCAATTATGCTCAGGCTCCGTTCCACCTGCTTGATTGGTCTGCCTCGCTTACATTCTGGTCTGCGTTCTACTTCGTGCCGCATATGATCGCGTTCTTGCTCCTGCTTATCCGATTCGTTCAGCCGCGATTGGCTCGTTCGGTTCGCGCTCGACGTCTGAACCATTTTGTCCCCATTATTTGTCATAGTCGCAGTGTGGGCGGCTAAATGGATAGTAGTTTTCAATGAAGCACAGGCGGACAATCTCGATCATTCGATCCTAATTTTTTTCTTCTTTCTCCTCCCTCCCCCTCTCACGTGCACATCTTACCTATCTCCCACGTCATCGAGAGTCTCGGGTCTTATTATTTGTTTTTCATACTATTCCCAAATCACAACCTGCCTATGTCTCAGTACCTTTTAATAGACCAGCAGTACCCGTGGTTACCCCAAACCGGTCTATCGGTTTTGTCAACTTACGAACCTAAGTTGCCAAAACTGCCTCATCGCAGCCATCGTTCATTCACAGAGATCACATATTTATGTATACAAATCCCGACATCTGCATGTATACATATATATGCATATAATCGTGTACATGTGTATTTACTGCTTCCCTTTGTACTTATGTTTCTCGCTACCTGTGCCCTTATTTTTGGTTTCACATTAATCTTTTACCAGCATTCTTCCCATTGATCACTATTTATGCTACAATTACCAGCGGCAAACAAGCCACTAATAGATCCGTACGTACTGTTTTGGTTGTCACCCTCAGTTCTCACCCGATGAGTATTCAGTCTGCCCCGAGTTACACTACAAATTCGGTATTTTTGTCTGGCTCTACTATCTATTCGCATTCAGCCTATTTCCTGACAAATCACGAACCGCGACGAATCTCATTCATTCACTATTCTGCATGTGCATTATCCACTCAA